TACTTTAGAATCGAAAGAAAACAATAGACTGAATTTCCTTGACTTCACACTAATTAGAGAGAACAATTCAATAAAATATGAAATATTCAGAAAAACAACTCAGACCGATTCTATAAGTCCTTATTTCTCGCATCATGATAATACCTATTCAGAGCCTTAAACTCAAAATTGACTCAAGAATCCCTAGAGAAAGAAATACATATAATACATCAAATAGCTAAAGACAACTCCTTCCCAGAAAGACTAATTGAAGGATTAATTATGAGAATGCAGGAGAAACACAGTAAAAATAACATCACCACATTAAAAGAAAAGCCAGAACAAAATAATATAACACATAGAACTATTACATTCCCGGGATAGCTATCACATAAAATAAAAAGAATTTTCCATCATAATGACATTCAAATATCGTTCAAGACTAAAAATACAATAAAAAGCATATTATGCAATAATAAAGAAAAAACTGATATACCGCTCTATACCTATTTGGGAAATCCATACCCGGAAAGAGACAAATCAGATTAATTGATTGTGGCTGATATTTGATGAACTATTTATTTAATTAATTTGTGCACATTTTTAAAAATTTTTTAATTGTTTGTTTCATTTGGTTTCTTGAATATGACTTTTAATGAATATGAGTTTTTGATCGCAAAAAACTGTTTACGGTAGGATTGGTGGGTGCGGCGATCAGACACAAAAAAGTAACTAAATTATTAGTTGCGTTATTTCGAAACTTTATTGTTTCTTCTACAGGTAATTATTAGAAAAAAAAACCACCGAAGTTACATGAAAAAACAACTTTTAAATCTACTTACATCAAAACACTTCTTGACTACTCATTAAAACCAAAAAAGCCAAAGTCAATTGAACATTAAAAATGAATGAAGAGTTAAGAACTTAAAACGTATATGAAACGACAAATGCGTTGAAAAACAATTTTTTGAACCGGTTTAAACAGTTTTGCGTCTGCGCATCATCCACCAATCCTAGACGTTAAACGCGTATGAACAAAAATAAAACAGAAAACCGCTAAATTTTAAATTTGAACTTTAACAAGCAAAAAATAATTTAAATTTTATCCAATAAAAAACAACAAATTAAAAAGAAAGTCAAACTATGAATTAAAACGTTAGTGAATCGTCATCTGTAGGATTTACACTAACCTCCCTTCTGGTTCTATCCCAGTGAAATAAAAAAGAGTAAATGTTACTTAAATTACTGGTATCCGTCTTAAAATTAACCGTATTATCACTCAAATTGATTTGATACATCTCCGAAAATAATCTATTATAGTAATTCGCATCACAGTCAAGAATGGCAGGGTTTTCAAAGTCAAAATTATGATTACAAGTGACCATATGATTAGCTAAAGCATATTGAGTTTTTTTAGTGTTAAAATCGCTTTTATGTGAGGTAATACGTCTCTTCAGCATTGACCAGTAACACCAATATAGCAACTGCTGCAATCCTTACAATCAATTTGATAGTAATCCTTTACTTTAGAAAAAAAGTTCTTAATTTTTAACGGGTAATATTCAACAAGTCTTGTATCTTCAGGTAAATATACTTTCAAGATATTAATCAATTTTTTAGAAAGACCATCAATTTTCATAATTTTACTATACTTAGTAGGTTGCACCGAAACAGCATCAAAAATACTAGGATTAACACTAACAGCACTCCGGGTGGAACTAGAAAACAGAACCTTATTAACAATCTTTAATGGAAAACCATTATTAATAAAAACTTTCTTAAGTTTAGCAAGAGCTTCAGCTTGAAATTTAGTATTACAAACTTCCAGAATTCTGTTTTTCATTCCCACCAGAGTATTGATCTTATGATTAAAGGAATGATTTGAATAATAGTTAATGTAACGACCTGAATAAGTAGGCTTGGTGTACCAGTCAATGACCACAGAAGCGCTCTCCGAATAACCCTACAATCAAAGAACGGAACAAAATTGTCCATTTCCATCTCAACAGTGAATTGAATGTTACTATTAAACGAATTAAAGACTGCCAAAATGTGATCAGCATCATCCCTGGGCACAGTTGTGATAATATCATCAACAAATTTTTTAATGAACGGCAATTCAAACTCTAACTGAGGAATAAAATTATCAAGAACAGCGTCCATAACTATAAGTGCCAAAATGGGAGTTATAGGTGAGCCCATGGGTATAGCAAACTTCTGTAAATAAATTTGATCATTAAATGAAATGTAGGTGTTATCAAAAACAAACTTTAAAAGTTTACAAAAGGTTCTGAGGTAATTAACGAATTCAAAGGTATCTTTAACATTATATTGAGTAACATTGCTCAAGGAGAGAGCAAGAATGAAAGAGAGAGAAAGAGAAAGAATTAGGTTTATGTATTTTCGGTAAAAAGTAAGCTTTACAAAGAGTTGAATTTTGTGTTGTAAAAAACTTTAATTCATTATCATTATTAAATCTTTTCATTGTGAAGGTGTTTAATTAATTTATTAAGATACCTTTGAACAGTGTCAACAGGAAATTTCTTAATTCTGGTGTAAGTAGATACATCATTCAGCATGTCAACAACTTTATTGACATAATCATCTTTATTCAGAATGACTGTAGTAGCACCTTTATCAGCATTGATGATAACTAAGTTTTTATTGAATTTAAGGAAGGGCTTGGTAGCCTTAATTAAGTGTTTAATATGTTTATCCAGCCATGTATCATTAACATCAGCATTAACAAAGTTATTCATAACATTCGTACTTCTCGCCCTAAGCAAGTCTCTAACCCTAGAGGGACAAAATGAAATAGCGCTTTAAACGGCCATCAAACATCTACTAAACTTAATATTACGTTTATCAACAAGAAGAGCAAATTTTGAACCGAGCGACAAGAAATCTGATACGTCCTGGGGAATAGATACCGAAGACAATGTGTAAGTAACTTCGGTGTTTTTTTTNAGTAATAACATTCGTACTTCTCGCCCTAAGCAAGTCTCTAACCCTAGAGGGACAAAATGAAATAGCGCTTTAAACGGCCATCAAACATCTACTAAACTTAATATTACGTTTATCAACAAGAAGAGCAAATTTTGAACCGAGCGACAAGAAATCTGATACGTCCTGGGGAATAGATACCGAAGACAATGTGTAAGTAACTTCGGTGTTTTTTTTTCTAGTAATTGCCTGTAGAAGAAACAATAAAGTTTCGAAATATCGCAACTAATAATTTAGTTACTTGTTTGTGTCTGATCGCCGCACCCACTAATCCTACCTTATACAGCCTGATTCAGAGTAAGCGCCTTATTTTTTTTATCTTTGTTAAAGTGGAGTCGGTGTTCATCGTAAGTATTAATTCAATAAATCTCATAGAAACGATGAAAATTCTTTATTTAGATTTGTTTCAGTGCGACATGTTTCGATTTAACAATCTTTCTTCAGGCACGACTGAGAAACACATAAATACATTGCATAATATAATAATAATAATAATAATAATCGCTTTATTGCCTCACAAAAATAAATAAATACAAGAAGAAAAAGTACAAAAAATGCAAATAAAGAAAAAAGATTATAATATAATAAATACAAAATTAACTTTTAGAGGCAATCTCATGGTGGAGTTCAATTACATTCAATTACAATATAATAAATCGTTCCGCGAGAGGTAAGTATATAAAACATAATTATAATAAAAATTCTTTTTTTTTTTTTTAATTTTACCGTCAATCGGTTGAAATGTACAGATGTTCTATTTTGATGGATTTCCTTAAAAACATTGTACCAGTAGGAGAAGTAGACCAAAAATATTTTTCTTTATCCAATTTAAGTCAATTATTTGGAGTAATTACGGTTTAAAGGGATTTTTTTTTATATATATATGCGGGTTTATTTAGGTCTCAATAGGTTAATTGTATGTTTATAGGGTTCATAAAAGAAATAATAAGAAATAAAGAAATTTGTTAATCACTTTGAAACCACACTTTTTTCGGATAAGTTTAAAACGTTCACAAAAGATATTTCTTTCTATGCCAGATATGTCGATGATATTTTTATAATTTACAAAGGTAACCCCGCCAAATTAATAGCCCTTCACAATATCTTCAATAATATTAATAACTTAAAATTCACTATAGAAACTGAAAATTCACAAAGATGTCTTAGTTTCCTAGATGTCCGGATCCAAAGAGATAATAAAAACAATAAAATGATATTTGATATATACTCAAAACCAACTACCACTGATATACTCATTCCAAAAAACTCTTATTGTAGCAAACAACATAAATACGCTAGCTTTAGGTTTCTATTTAATAGGTTATACAATATACCACTTAACGATAATAATTTGAAAAAAGAAATCATAAGAATAGTTTCATTAGCTAAAAACAATTTATACTCTATAAAAGACCTACAAACAATATACAATAAAGTGCACCTGTCACAGATAAAAAAGAAGATTTACCCACATTACAAAACAAAAATGAAATTTGTATCTATACCATTCCACCCAAGTTTAGAAAATAAGTTAACTAGGAATCTGAATAAGTTCAACATATGCCCCGCCTTTATCTCCAATAATTGTAAGCCAGTTCTTCAACTTATGAACAATAAATCAAAACGAACAGAGTGGTGTCTATAAAATAGAATGCACGGGATGTGATGGGATCTATGTGGGACAAGCAGGCCGTAATATTAAGATACGCTATAAGGAACATATGACCAAAAAAACTTCCGCAGTTTACAAGCACGTCAAACAAAGCAAACATGAAATCCCATTTGAAAACATTACACTACTAAAAAATGTCAAAAAATCTAACGAAATGAACCTATTAGAAGAATTTTACATTCACAAATTTAAAGACAAAAATCTACTCAATGACACTTCAGACCTCAACCCATATAGAAATTTCCTTCAGTTCATATAATTTGAGTAGTAATCCAATCATCAGCTAACTTTTTAAAAAAAAAAAAGATTCTCTCTCCCTTTTTTTTTTTTTTTTCCTGACCTGATATTCCCTCATCTTTAAGGAAAACTTTTTCAAATAAAAGCAAATTTTCAAATCCAAACAATTGTCATCTCCCTGCCTATGCAATGCGCATGCCCCAAATGGACCATAATACATTTCTGCATTCTACATCAAGCCCTCAGTCCAACCTCAATCACGCAATGAACCACCTGTTGTGACTTAAATTTTGGATTTGTTTAATTGATTACGAAGATCACAGATTTTTTCTTTCCCAATAACATGATTCACCTCCTCTATTGTATTAAATAAATTTTAACACGTGATCTAAATTTAACGATGAAAGTAAGACGCCATTTTCCTCTCAATTTTCTGTACTGATTCGATGTCTTATTTCAGAATTTTTAACAATCCCCTTTACATTCCCTAACAATTTATTTCTTTTATGAACCCTATAAACATACAATTAACCTATTGAGACCTAAATAAACCCGCATATATATATAAAAAAATCCCTTTAAACCGTAATTACTCCAAATAATTGACTTAAATTGGATAAAGAAAAATACTTTTGGTCTACTTCCCCTACTGGTACAATGTTTTTAAGGAAATCCATCAAAATAGAACATCTGTACATTTCAACTGATTGACGGTAAAATTAAAAAAGAATTTTTATTATAATTATGTTTTATATGCTTACCTCTCGCGGAACGATTTATTATATAATGCAATGTATTTATGTGTTTCTCAGTCGTGCCTGAAGAAGATTGTTAAATCGAAACATGTCGCACTGAAACAAATCTAAATAAAGAATTTTCATCGTTTCTATGAGATTTATTGAATTATTTTTTTTAGCCACACTATGGGTAGTACTTTCAAAATATTTGGCAGTAATGTTTTAGGACATTCTCTACACGATGGTGATACCACATTTTCAATTGGACGAATTATTTCAAAATGGCGACTGTCAACTTTTTTTTTTTTAAATGGAATGCCAAAATGTTTTTTTGGGTGTCATTATAGGCTATCTCAGAAAGTATAAGGATACGAAAAAAGTAGGTGCCATGTCCTGGTCTCTTTTTTCGAGACTAAACCAATCCCGCAAACACCAAACCTCTATCTTCTTTTGTTCTTAAGTTATAGCCAAAAAGTCAAATTTTCGTGATTTTAGAAAATGCTCATATTTCGTTTATTTTTGAAATTAGAGAAATGGGGTTGATACTTTCTTAAGACACTTTTTTAAGTAGAATATACTGCCTTTGAAAAATTTTAAAAATATTTGATGATTTTTATGATACAACACAAAGTTGTATTTTTTTAAATACGAACTATAGTAGATTATGGTGTTTATTAAAAGACGCACGGCAAAACCCGAAAGTTTCTAGTGTTAGTTCTAGTTTTAGTTCTATTTTAGTTTAATTCACACCGGCCGTGAAAGCCTTCGTACTTATATTAAATCAACTATTCAAAGTTTTTATTCGTTGGTACAAAACCAACTTTATCCTGCATAATGGTACAAGAGCAACTTTCTGTCATATTCGTGCAAAACCATATAGCAATTAGGTAGTACTTACTGTCCGAACCCGAGTACTATAATCAAAATTTTGAACTTTAGCGCTTACTATTTTGGAATTGAAAATTAACGCTTATTTTCCGCAAATACACCATACATGCGATACATCATTGGAAAGCTAAAAATATGCTCTTTTCATTAACATCATAATCAAGTATAGTTTGTATTTAAAAAAATACAACTTTGTGTTGTATCTCAAAAATCATCAAATATTTTTAAAATTTTTCAAAGGCAGTATATTCTACTTAAAAAAGTGCCTTAAGAAAGTATCAACCCCATTTCTCTAATTTCAAAAATAAACGAAATATGAGCATTTTCTAAAATCACGAAAATTTGACTTTTTGGCTATAACTTAAAAACAAAAGAAGATAGAGGTTTGGTGTTTGCGGGATTAGTTTAGTCTCGAAAAAAGAGACCAGGACATGGCATCTACTTTTTTCATATCCCTATAGTTTCTGAGATAGCCTATAATAACACACAAATTTGCCCACCCTGTACATACATAATTAATTTAATAAATAAAATAATTTAAATAAATCTTAAATCTCGTTTTCTCTGATTTCGATTAGCAGGATAAGAATTAACTGTGTTATAGGAGTTAAATAAAAAAAAGTGTGTACCACTTCTTTTTAAGAAACATTCTTTCCTATTTCGAAATAACCGATTATTTTTTCACATAATAATTTAAATTTATAAATTCCATTCAAATCTACTACATTATTCATGAGTGCATAATGATTATTTTATTCAAAAACAAATGTCTCCGCGAAGATAGGCAGCCAAGCTTATAACAAAGACTAAGAATGAGCCTATAAACAAGAATCAATTTATTAGTTTTATATTGACTTATATTGACACTTCCTAGTTTAAAGTTTTATTATTGTAAACAACAATGTACTTGGAGATGTCCTAATAAGTGACATCTCTTTAAGAGTGAAAATTATATTATAGTTTAAAAGTTGCTTAATATTATTTTATACACACATTTTTTCAAGATCAAGTAATTTTGCGATTTAGTGAAAGAAGGCTTACATGCTTTTTATGATTTTAAATCATAATACAGAATCAAATCTCATTCAAGTCGCAACCGATACCAAAAGTTGATGATGCATAAAAATGATTATAATTTCCTCTTGATTAATTTATGAACAAATTTGACAAAAAAAAATTAAACTATTACCTGTTAACCTGAGGAATTGTCTTCAAAAGTTAGACTACATGAAAACCATAGTTGGTGTCATTATATTGCTTATCAAATCTTTCTTAAAGGTGTTTGTAATTTCAGTGGGTGCACAACTGAGACAAATCGGTACTATCTTTACTTTTAGAGGGTTGGCTTCACCTAAAATACATAAAAAAAATATTAGATAAAAATATATTTCACATTTTATACCTATAGAAATGCATTATTGTAACTAGTCAGAAGTAAATGTGCTCAATGTATTTTTTATCTATCAGAATGATAGATTTTGAAGGACACACAATTTATGAATGTATTAACAACAATTCAAGATGGGGAAGCGTGATGTAGTCTTGATATCACGGGAACTGCCAGATAAAGTAGTATTATTAAAATGAATGAATAAAAAATTAAAATTAAGCTAATTGCTCAAATAGTATACCTTGTGCAGCTCCTAAACGATTTTTAAATTCTTCTTGACAATTCCCTAAGGTATCAAGAATTATTCGCTGAACTTCTTCTTGGATTCTGATTTTTTGTTCATCGGAAGTATTTGGTCCAGTGGTGTAACATTTGGTTTGGTCCCTTCTCCAATTCCATCCATTGGAAAATAATTGGTTTAAATAAACCCAAACAGGAAGGGCATAGTATGGTGGCGCGCCATCTTATTATAAAATAATATTTTAAGTTTCTGTTCATTTAACATTTTTTATAAAAATTCTTACCTCATCCATGCCAACATCTTGTTCTTAATCATCTTCGAAATGCAGAATTGAAAATCTGCTTCTTTTTTTAATTTTATTTTCTACAGCAATGTTTATGAAAAAATTGTTAACTCCACAAAACAAGCTTCTTCGAGATCAACTCTTCCCACAAAGTAGTATACTACTACGTGACTTTTCCATAACTCTTCTTGAATGGAAACCAGAATGGCGTCCAGATCACCAGAAAACACGTACCAGTAATGCGAGGTCGACAAAAGAGGTGCGTTACTGATACGACATCTGGTGGCAAGTATAGTTTGGTTTCCCATTAATAGATGGCATGATTTAAATTATTTTACATTTTTAGATACAATTTATTTTTATTATTTTTTTATGTATTTGTTGAGCAGTATACTTATGTAGGATTGAACAGGTTGAAGAAACAGACGGAGTCTTGTTAATTACGTGTTTACTCTTTAACGATACGTTACAATCTAATCTACATTATTTTTACAAGCAAACCGTTGTTCTTCTCTGCTAAGTCAGCTTTGTCCCTGAACCGCAGGCAGGACCGTAACGGTATTCCGTAAGAAAAAGGGATAATAAAACTCATAAACTATCAAATTAAAAACAAAATTAAAGACAGGAATATTAAACTACGGTTATACGGTTTAACTCTATGTGAACATGGTTCTGAAATTTACAGGCCTTGAGCGAGGGGCCGCCTTAGGTTGATTAACAGATTGTCGGTTTTTATCATATATACAGTATGTCCCCGGATAGGTGAAACGACTCTTATAAAAGGTAAAATTTTTTCGATATTAATTGTCATCTTTTGGGGTTTAGCCCTGCTTGATTAACGACTAATTTTGAACATATTATCAATTTTTAAAAAACAAGTGAGCCTTGACAGTGAAAGAAAAACTCTTTTTGTGGCAGGTAAAGTACCTTTTCTGTTTACAGTACGTGAAAGTGTTACTAAGAAGTTTTGTTCAGAATGAAAAACTATGGGCATATGCAAATTTTCGGATTGATATCAAATAATTTTATTTCTAACAAGGACTGTCATGGAAAAACAAAATTGCTTTCTTGTCACTGTTAATCTCTCAAACTGTAATTTAGTAAACTTAAAGTGTTTTTTAAACAGAATGTTAACATTACAGGAAAAAGTTTACGTGATTCAGTGTTATGGAACCGGGAAAAAACCGATTATTGCTTTATTTTGTGAAAAATTTCCAAATACTGCAATTAAAAGAAGTACTTGTTGGCGTTTAATCAAAAGATTTCTTACAGCAGGAAGTATTCACTCTAA